ATGTATTGAAGATGAAATGGCCATAGTTTCAAAATGTTGCATATAAATTTCAACAAAACAGGAGAGAGAGGAGAGCCCATCGGAGTACCATCCTTCATTTTGAAGTACTGATGTTTCCAAAGAAAATAGCTATAATTTAAGCCTAATTCTAGAAGTTTGATAATATTATTAACTGAGATTAGTGTTCTGTCAGGAAGTGAGACATCCTTATTTAATAAATCTTCTATAATACTAATAGTATCAGAGAGAGGAACTCTCGTGAACAGGAATACCACATCAAAACAAGAATGTCATCATTATTAATATATTTGTCCCTAATAATCTCAACCAGCTGGTTTGAGTTTCTTAAGGAGTATTCGGTATTTCCAGCTAAAGGTTTCAAAATTTTTATAGTTATGCATAGGGGAACCAATATAGCAGAGGTAGAGTTATGTCGGGCTTGTGAACTTTTGAGAGACCATAAAGCGTGGGAGGAGAACAATAATGAGAACATAACCGTTGATACGTATATTTCGTAATCTCTCATAAGTTGTGAAAGAAATTTCAGTTCCTTCATATTTCTTTTAGTAGAGTCTGATTATAAGAGTATGTATACAGGGTCAGATAATAAGTCGGTTACCTTCTTGTTATAACCTTCTTTGTTCACAAGGACAGTAGAGTTCTCTTTGTCCGCTGATAAAATCACAATATTGTTATCCCGTTTAAAATCGCGAAGAGCTTTACGTTCTTTGAAACTGGTGTTCTTTATGGGTTTTTTGTTACGTTTAAACACTTTGTAATGGTTTCCTTGATTTGAAAACAATCTTCAGTAGCAGCAGGTTCTTCTAAACGACTGGCAACTTCTCGTGTAGCAGCACTAATATCCTAGTAGGGTACACTGTTAGAAGTTGGATCAAACTTAAACCTAACCATAAACCATTTTCTTCACAGCTAGTCAAAACCTTATTACTCAATTTGACAACAGACGTTTTCCTATGGTATACTCTCATTAGGATTTTGAATTTCTTTACTTGTCTCTCTTTTACAATGTTAAATTTATGCTCAGTTCTTGTATGTGTAATTCTGTCAATATTATGAAAATCTTCAACCGAAACCAAGGATTTGATTTGCTCACCAATATTCTGGAATTTTATTTTTAAGTGTTGAGTTTTCTTTCTACTAAAGAACAACCTTTCACGAAGAATGGTTTTTCAGCTCTTTGGATTATTCTTTTAAGTTTTATGGTATCGGATTTTAGTCGGAGACCTTTAGGGATGATTCTGTTGTTCAGGCTTTTTAGGAGAAACGTACAATGGTTACAGAATCTGGATTGTTTGATACCTGTCGTTTCATATGTTTTGACGAGTTCGCATATTTGCCGTCCATAGTGAGAAGATAAGTAACGTTTCAGGCTTTTAACGTTAGTACTCATATTTGGAGTAATTTATTTGGACTATCACCATTTTTTTTTTTTAGTCTTTATAAATGCACAAGCTTTCGACTCAATTACCTATCTATTACCTCGCCTTCTACAGGTGCGAGATTTTAATAAACAACACAATTTAACGGGAAAATAGGAATAACAAGTCGCCTAACAACAACGAAAAAATAATAACGTGCCCTAAGTTTCTTTACAACAATAAGCCTGAAGCTTTACCATTAAATGATAAGAAATTACTTCTCGATGTAATTAATAAGGAACTACTTTCCACTTAATTTATAAGAAACAGCTTCGTAATGTAGTTAATAAGTAAGGGCTTACACGTGTAGTTTCCAAGAAACAGCTGCCTACTGTAGTTAAAAAGGAGCAGTTTACCAGTGTAGTTAATAAGGAACGGATTATCAGTGTAGTTAGTAAGCAACGGAATAACAGTGTTGTTAATAAGGAACGGTTTTCCAGTATATCTAATAAGGAATTGCTTCTCAATGTGTGTTAATAAAGAACAGCTTCCCAGAGTAGTTAATAAGAAGTAGTTTAATAGTATAGTTAAAAAGGAATAATTTTCTAGTGTGGTTAATAAGGAACAGCTTCAAGTGTACTTAATAAGCTTCCTACTGTAGTTTACAAGAACAGTTTACCAATATAGTTAATAAATAATTCCTTTCCAGTGTATTTAATATAGAACGACTTACCAGTTTTGTTAATAATGAGCTCCTTCTCAATGTGTGTTATTAAGGAACAGCTTCCAAGTGTATCTAATAAGGAACAGTTTTCCAATTTTGTTAATAAGGAACGGATTCCCAGCGTAGTTAATAAGGAACGGCTTTCCAATGTACTTACTAAGGACCATTTTACCAGTGTAGTTAATAATGAAGGGCATTCCAGATTAGGTAATAAGGAGCTGCTTTCCAGTGTACTTAATAAGGAATGGCTTCACATTATAATTAATAACGAACAGATTTTCAGTGTAATAAATAAGGAACTGTTTACCTGTATAGTTAACAAAGAAGTGCTAATTATTGCGTGTTAGTAAGGAACAGTTTACTTGTATAGTTAATAAAGAAGTGCTAATTATTGCGTGTTAATAAGGAACAGTTTTAAGAGTAGTTAATTAGTAGTAGTTTAGTAATGTAGTTAATAAGAAACTGCATCCCAATATTTCTAATAAGGAAAGGCTTCTTACTGTAGTTAACAAGGAACACTTTATCAGTATAATTAATAAGAAACGACTTACATATGTAATTAATAAAGAACTGTTTAGTTGTGTAGTTATTAAGAATGGCTTCTTACTGTACTTATCAGTGAACAGTTTTCCAGTGTAGTTATAGTTAATAAGGAACGGATTACCAACGTATTTAATAAGGAACAGCTTCCAATATAGTTAATAAGGAACGGCTTCTTAGAGCAGTTAATAAGAAATATATTAATAGCGTAGTTAAAAAGAAACTGCTTCCCCGTGTAATTAATAAGAAACAGTCCCTACTTTAGTTTATAAGAACAGATTACCAGTATAGTTAATATAAAAATAACTTGCAGCTTTATACACTTATCTGTAGGCCAAAGTAAAGGTTAAATTTTATAAATTTGTGATTGTGGCTTTAATTCTTGTTTCATTACTTTTCATAGCAGAATCCCTACTTCATACTGAAAATCATAATTTTTAAGACTCTTGTTTAATAAAGAACAGCTTCTCTCAAAGAACAGTTTACCAGTGTAGTTAACAAGGAACAGATTACCAGTGTAGTTAATAAGAAACGGTTTTCCAGTGTAGTTGATACGGAACAGCTTCCTAGTGTAGTTAACAAAAAACAGTTTACCACTGTAGTTAATTAGGAACTGTTTCCCAGTGTAATCAATACAGTCCTGATTGTCGGTGTAGTTAATAAGGAACTGCTTCCCTGTGTAGTTAATACAGAAATGATTACCAGTTTAGTTAATAAGGAACTGCTTCTCAATGTAGTTAACAAGGAACACTTTACCCGCGTAATTAATAAGGAACGGCTTCCCAATGTAGTCAATATGTAACGTTTTCCCATTGTACTTAATAAGGACCAGCTTCCTAATCTAGTTAATAAGGAACGGCTTCCTACTGTAGTTAACAAGGAACAGTTTATCGATGTATTTAATAAGAACAGCTTACCAAGGTAGTTAACAAGGAGGGAGTGGCTTTCAAGTTAAGTTAATAAGGAGGAACTGCTTCGTAATATTGTTAACAACAACTGGGGTTGTTATTAAGAAGTCGAACGTCTTTCCAATGTAATTAATATAAACGGGACTGCTTCCTAGGGCACTTAATAAGAAGGTGAACGGCTTTCGTATATAGTTAATAAGTGTGGCACGGTGTTCCAGAGTAGTCACTCATAAGGGAATGTCTTTTCACTTTAGTTAATAAGGAAGAAACAAGTTTTAATGTAGTTAATAAGGAGGAGATGACTTTCCAGTGCAGTTAGTAATTAACGGAGAGCTTTCCAGAGTAGTTAATAAGAAAGTAATATCTTTTCAATGTAGTTATTAAGGGTGAGACGGCCTTTCAATGTAATTAATAAGAGAACTGTTTTTGAATGTGTTTCATAATGAAGGGAACAGTTTCCCCAAACTAGTTAATGAAGAATGAACGGATTTCCAATTCCAGGTAAACGGAAGAGTAATTACATTAGGTATGTCTTCAAGTGAAAGACTACAAAAATTTTGTTAATTTGGGGCATTATGTGAAATGTTTTGAGATAGTTCATTGAAGTTTCATACATTTTTAACGTTCTTAGTTATTCTTTTACTATAGTAGACTTGTGTCCGTGGTCTTAGAGTTTATAATATAAGGCTTTTCTTATACGTTTGGTTTGTTATACTTTTAGAAACCATGCAGTACTTAATATATCACAGTGTTTGTAAGAGGTTTACTTACAACTTCTATATCACGGATTTCTTCCTTAAAGATTTTGCCGTTGTGAAGAATCCTGAATTTGTTTTGTATATTAACAAATGATTCAAACTTTTCTTCGTCATTAGTCTGAATACTTTTCTCGGACATTTTAACAAGTAGATTAAATGTGTATGCCATAACATAGATTAACGTTCTGTATTATAAGAAAAATACCTAAAGAATTTAAAAATAAACTCGTATAGTAATGTGGTGATGTTTAAATATAGAGTTGTTCACGTGACTATTACATACGTGGGTATGTAGAACAGAACTCACCCTTACACCCCAAACATACTCTTTCTAATTATAATTGGTGATAAATAACTAAATATGTCGTGGTATATACAATCAGGGCTAGGGTTACATGCCACGTGCATTAAAATAGCAGACGATTGGAGACATTTCAGTTTAATATTCCCTAGCGTTTCTGTGGGATAGCATTCTCTTCTTGTGACCAAATAAATAATTCAACATGTAGTTTTACTTTATGGATCATACACTTTATGATATTTTAGAACAAGTTACACGTTTTGGAAATTTATCATGTGATACATAAAGTCTATTCATCTACTGATCTATTAATTAATTACATTTCATTAAAATGTTGTTAAAACCAGGTTAATTTTTCAAAAAAAAAAAATATGATTACAGTTATAGAAACATCATCTACCCAACATCCACCAATAAACTTAGAGATTGATAATCCAAAAATGCCCTTCTATTGACTGTCAAATAAAACCCAAATGCACAGAAATTGTTAAGTTTCAAGGAGAGAAAATAAAAACTTTCTAGCAGTTTCATACTTTTTTACCTTAAGTATTTCCTATTCCTTCTAAATACAGTCTTTTTTTTTTCAATAGAATCCTTTAGTTTCAATCGCTAGTCCCAATAGCCAACAGTTTTGTACCACAGGAAAATCCATTTGATTTTTTTCGAATTATTTTTTAATGTTCAAAGTAAATGATCTTGGCTAAGATTTTCCTTGTTTTCTCCAGCCCCTGTGGCGGACAGATACGACGGTATCATATAAAGCATATTAAGTGTCTCTGTGATCTGTGTACAACAATTCCGGACAGAGAAATCTTGAACATCTTTATACAAGCATCTTTCGAACAGGTTTGGAAGAACATCAGAACTTGTCGAAACTTGCCACGTTACTGGCCATAGCAGTCTGGGTAGCACAACTCACCTTACTGTTCAGCGACCACACAAAACGCAGCTGGTCGTTCATTTCGCAGTCTATGAAAAACAAAAGAAAAAACATAACTACATTTTTTATTTGTTAGTTGCTCTTTTTTAATGTTGTTAAAAAAGGCTATCTATTTTTGCCTGTTACATTAACAACGGTTATTTAATTTTGTATGCTACCTTGTTAATTGGTTGTATCTTTCGACCGTGGATGACAAAGAATAAGCTAATCCCAAACCATAAGTAATTTACGTAAATTTTGTCTACGTTGCAGAAAATAACCTTTGCGGCTTTTACATAGTGTATTTGTATGCCCTTTAAGTAACAACTAATTTTACATGCCTTTATTACAAGAAGATAAAGGAATGGTTAAAGGTTAAAGTGAATTTCGCATCTTTAAACTTTTTGAGCAAGTTTATGAATTACAATTATTCTCGTGAAGAATAATTAAGATTTGGATGTAATATAAATGATCTGTGTTATTCCATCTATACTATTTGTGAGACATAATTAAGATTATGGCTGAATACAAAATTTATAACAATGAGCAGTCGTAACTGGTGATCAGTGCGATGTAATCATAAATTATAATTTCTCTGGTTTGTGACATTGCAGATAATGCACACCTAATGAAAGATGCAAATAATGCTATGTTAGCTATTCACACCTAGTGAACGATGCAAATAATGCTATGTTAGCTATTCACACCTAGTGAACGATGCAAATAATGCTATGTTAGCTATTCACACCTAGTGAAAAATATTGGTTAATAACGAAGCTGAATAATCTTCACTAACATAAATTTTCTTTCAGATGATTTTAGTTAAAATAATAATATTAGCTTACTTATATTAACCCGCTTCCCGACCTGGCATGGTCGTGTGGTTGAGGCACTGGACTCGCAATCTACGAATCGTGGGTTCGATCCCGTCACAGATCTTGCTGTAATTTTCAGCCGTGGAAGCATTATAATGCGACTGTCAATCCCACTATTCGTTGGTAAAGAGTACCCCAAGAGATGACAGTAAGTAGTGTTGACTAGCTGCCTTTTCTTTAGTCTATCGCTTAAAAAATTAGGGACTGCTAGCACAGATAGCCATCGAAAATCTTTGGACGAAATTTAACAAACCAAACATTTGCCTCCAGAGGCTCAGCGGTTAGATTGAGGACTTGCATGATAAAGATCGGGTTTTGATACTCGTGGTGGGCACAGCGCAGATAGCCCATTGTGCATCTTTGCATTTAAACACATACCAGCAAACAATACATTTATTAAGACATTTTTAGAAATAACACTCAACTGCTCATGTTTGTCACACAACGTAAGAATTTATTATGTACCGTCAGACTGGGTAGCTGATTCCACTCGGAGGAATATCACTGATTTATTAACTCTCTGGGTGACATGCTTGCTCTGAAGTATTAGCGACTGACGCTCCGGATGAAGTAGGAGGATGTAGAGTTTCGGAGTGAACAGACACACCAAAGTGACAGTGGCGCTAAGACTTATGGCCATGGACATGGTAGTAATGTTCAGAATCACGTGTTGAGCAGTGCTGAAGTAGATAGGAACAAATGCTAACCAGATGACACAGGTGGTGTACATGGTGAAGCCAATATACTTCGATTCGTTGAAAGCTTCGGGAATTTTTCGAGTCAGTATGGCGTAGACAGTACATATAACAATGAGTAGAATTGGATAGGCAAAAGCGACTATGTAGCTGTTGGTGATTGATGCCGAGCACACCAGATTGTTGTCTTCTCTTGTAGGATAGTGATGGATGGCCCTTGGAGGCGCGCAGGCTAGCCACACAGCTGTGATGGACACCTGAACACTAATAAGTCCACCGCAGATGACAAGCTGAGAACGTGGGCTGATGAAACTAGGTGCTGTGGTTGTGCGTTTCCCAGCCTTGAATATACGAAAGATGCGATTTGTCTTAGTCAGGAGGGCACTGTAAACAACGACAAAGCAGAATCCAATTCCAGCTTTCTGAGCACCACAAATAACGTCCGTAGGCCGCTGCACGAGAACATAGGTCATTCCGAAACAAAGAAGAATACCTGCTAAGAGAACATAACTTAACTCTCGGCCGGAAGCCCTCACCACAGGAGTGTCCTGATAGCGCACGAAGACAAAGATAACGAAGATAGTTAGAAAAATTCCAATAGTTGCAAAAGTTAACGCTCCTACAGCCCAGGTCGTGTCTGGACTCATGTAGAGCTCTGGAATAGATTCACAGTGCCGGTGATCAACGTCTGGAAGAAAGCCGAGTGGACATTCAACACACTGGGTCTCGGAAATCAAAACTTGATAATTCGTACAATTAAAACAATGCCAGCAACAATTCTCGCCTTCCACGAACTTCTTAGCTTGTCCCTTAGCACATGGGTTACTGCAAAAGGAGAGTGGCATCTCGGGACCTTGGAGACGAAACTGGATATTAGATAAATTAAGTGAGAGCTGCCCTTCCCGATACTCACCAACTCGAACCCATTCATAAACACCGGCGCTGGTTTGTTTGAAATGAATTATGTTGTATCTAGCCAGGCCATCTCCATTTTCAGAAAACTGAAAATCATCACCACTTAACCCTAAAAAGCAAAACCACAAAATCACCTTATAAACTTGTTTTCAGTCTTTTAGATAGAAAACATAACTTAATCATGACTCTTCTAAGTTGATAAAGTAACTTAAATTAGTTTAAAGTAATTGAAAACATGTTTCAACGCTTGTTACAAACTCAATTAAAACAAAGTTTAAAAACACACAATAACTTAAAATTAATTAAATTTACTGCATAGAAACATGGAATTTCTAATTTGATGTTTCAATGATATCCAGTCAAAAGCCTACAACATATAGAAATAAAAATAAGTCTTAAATGTCCTAATTTATGAACTTTATCTCAATTGAAAATTGCACGAAAAGCAGCCAATCATTGATAACAGAAGCTTCATTTCCTAAACTGTTAGACTTATCGTTAAACACTATGCATCAGAAATGTCAACTATCTATGGCCCGACGACCTATTTTATAATAATCATAAACACATGCAGAGAGGTCCTCCTTTTCTGACGAAGGTTATGCATATATTTGAAGGCATAAATATAGTTCTTAGAGATAAAGAAAGTTAAGAAGTTTACTTATTCACGACATGAGAATGACATCAATATTAAATGTAAGGAAATACATTATCCAATTACGTATGCAATCATCTCGAGGTATTTCACCTAGTTTGAACTCTCCTTCTGTAGATGCCCCCCAGTGGCACAGCGGTATGTCTGCAGACTTATACTGCTAGAAACCGGGTTTCGATACCCGTGGGGCAGAGCATAGATAGCCCTTTGTGTAGCTTTGTGCTTGATTACAAACAACAACAGCCTTCTGGAGATTCTTGCGGATGACTTGAATGATTTGTTTAAGAAAAAAAAATGTATATTTGCACAAACAAACTAACTGTTGGGAATCTTTTGACATTCAACCCAATTAATTGATTTTTATTTTAAAAAAATCAAACTTTTTGCGAATTCTTATATGAATTTTTTAAGTCTTATACAATACAATGATATATATATAACCTTTTCAGGTCATCCTGGTGTGAGAGGTTGGAACTTCATGGCTTTAAATTGTCTATTGAAGATTCTAGCCCTAGGGAAAGGATCTAAATCTATATAATTGTGTCTGTCTTTCACATTTTTGTTTGTTTCTTTTTTCTAGAGCAGACCAAAGCAGATGCGAAATCTTCCACTCAATTTTTTTAATTGTTTCTAGATCCAACCAAAACTATCAGATTTCTTAACCTAGATCTGATGAACCTACTTAAAGTGTTGGATCTAGCCAGATCCGTTAGAAATCTTAACCAAGATCTTATGAACCTAACTAAACGTTGGGCCTAACCGGAGATATGATAATTCTTAACCCAGATCCAAAACCTACTCTAAGTGTTGGATCTAGCCAAACAGACTGGAAATTTTAACCCAGATCTAATGAACCTATTCCGCCGATGGGACAGCGGCAACTCTGCGGACTTGCAACGCTAAAATCTGAGATTCTATTCGCCGCGGTGGACACAGCAGATAGCCCATTGTGGCTTTGCTTTAATAATAAACCTAACTGAAATGTTGACTCTACCCAGATCGAGTACAAACCTTAACCCAGATCTAATGAACCTAATTAAAGTGTTGGTTGGGCCTAGCCGAACCAACAATAGTTGTTTGTTAAAACATTCAGTTTACGCTTGATTGCGATATATGATCAATAACCAAAATGTTTATGTTTTAAGAATATCATAACAGATTATTCAAAAGTTTTGATAAGTATTTAAATTTGTTACATATAATAATGTTACGATCTTTTCAAATTAAACATTACAGTGCAAATTTAACCCAAACTTTTGGGTAGATTTTACTAGTTTTGTTTTATATTGGGATTTTACCATACTGTTTATTTATCTCTCTATACCTGTAAAGTGAACGTTGTACAAATATTCTAAAAGTTTGGTGCCGTCTACTGGGTCCATCTGGGGGCACAGCCCAGGATCTCCTCCGCATAAATCTCTGTGCATGTTTTTAAAAGCATAAGCAAACGCCATCACAGCGTCACTGACAAACTGGAGTTGCGGTTCAGGTTCGTATCCATTCACGTACGTCATAGTCTCGTTCCCCTTGCAAATTCTGCTGTACTTCTGATTATAGGGAGTAGGAGTACTGTTGGGCCACTTACATTGGAAGTAGTGTTCCCAGTATTCGGTGAACCACGGGTTACGATTGTTGTTCGCTACCGTAAGACTCAAGAAGTATTGGTCGAACCCCTTCACGCGGTGTGCTCGGGGTTGAACGGACAATGTTCCTTCAATCTCAGCCTCATTCCTCTCAAACACTGAGACTCGCGCACTCCAGCCATCGCTACCGATCCATGAAAAATGACCTGTGGCATTATTTCTTCGGACTGCTCGCATCACTCCCGCCACTTCTTGGGCAGAGCCGAAAATGATGACGCCTGTGTACAAATAATGGAAGAATTATAAAATCAATGGAGATAAAACAAAACTAAGAACTATATTAATACTCCTATAAAAACAAGCCTGATAATGTCTGCACTAACACAATAGCCTACATCTGATATCCGGAGTTAAATAATTTGAACTACTATTATCGCTTGTGAAAAGATAGTATCTATATATTTTTTATGATGTACTTTTACAGGTGGAGGCTAGACCCATCTGCTCAGCTACAGTCTAGATCCATCTGGCCAGCTACAGGCTAGATCCATCTGCCCAGCTACTGGTTTTGGTTCTCTACTAGAATCAACTTTCTTACCCCGCACTTAAGATTATAACTACTTTCAGTTTTAAAAATGCAAGCTTTAGAACCAAATAATGCTTGTAATTCAAGGATAGACTAATTGTTTTAACTTTATAGATAGGATAATGAAAATTTCATAGGCATTACATGCCACTGTTACATAGAAACTGTATTAGTTTTAGTTAAAATTGGGATTTCATCCATTCCCTTTATTTGCCATCCATAAGTAATCCTATGTCTTCATTAAAGAACTGAATATCTTAACCTAACTCAACCCCTTTGAAAATGGAAGTCGTGACTACAATGAAGCAAACTGTCATTTCTGTTTATGATAAACTATCTTAATAAAACAAATTTATGTTTATACTTTTTTGACCTTGATAAATAATCTAAAATCACTGTTGAGAAACGTTTTATATATTTTGTATAGATGTCAATTCGAGTAGCTAATCGCATTTTTAACGGTATGAATCCGATGACTCATATTTCATGAGCCACTACTGAAAAAACGTATTATGTACTTTAAAACCTTGGATGCCCTAAAAGTGACAATCAAATCCTACTGCTCTATCAAACAAGAGAAGCTCAATCGTTGACTTGGGTGCTGTTGCCTAGCTGCCTTCTCTGTATTCTGTCGATTCAAAATTAGGGGATAGCCTTTGTGTAGCTCTGCGCGAAATTCTGAAATAAATAAAACAAACTTTCAGTGGATGACGGGTAATATTTTAAGTACGACTCTCTAACTACAACCTAAAACACAAGTTTTATTTTAAAGGAACAATCAGTGCTTATCATCGTTTACTCGTTGAAGTATATTTCCAAGACGAGGAGAAAAAAAAAACCCATCAGACCCATAAATAAAACAGTCTATATTACTAAATCACTTCGGTAGACATGATTTATAAGTCGCTCGTGCTTTCTAAAATCGAAAGGACGGACATAATAAAGAAGGAAAGAAGATAAAAGGTGGTAAGTTAAGATTATTCACGTTTTTAGGTAAGATTGTTTCTATTTTTGTTATTTATTTTTATTTCAGATCTGCCAAAAGTCATTTTAACAGCTAACCAAAACAGTTTCGGCCGCCTCGTGACGGAGCGAAAAAAACACCAATACTTACGGCACCTACAGCTACATGTCAGCTACATCTACAGCTGCGCCATTATCATCCTAGAACCGGATGATCATGTACTGTAGTAATCCCCCAGACACCAATACGTTGTCTCCAAGTCACAGCAAAGTCATCAGCCAGGAAGAAAAACCAGTGAACAGTCCTGCTAGGTCAAACCAGGAAGCATGTAAACTCAAGCTGTCAGCCCGTAACTGCAGGAGCCATTATCAAGTAATCATCCTGAACTCCCATCTGACATCAACACAGAAAAAATCCCCATATCATATAAGCACCCTCGCATCGCTCCCATCTGACATCAACACAGAAAGAATCCTCATATCATACAAGCACCCTCGCATCGCTCCCATCTGACATCAACACAGAAAGAATCCTCATATCATACAAGCACCCTCGCATCGCTCCCATCTGACATCAACACAGAAAGAATCCTCATATCATACAAGTACCCTCGCATCGCTCCCATCTGACATCAACACAGAAAGAATCCCCATATCATACAAGCACCCTCGCATCGCCGTCAAATTCTAGTGCTTATTCCCCGTCCATTGCGTTTACACACGTTCGCCATCTAGCAAAGGATGGAATATGTATAAAGTGTAGCCACCTCCTACAGTATGCGAAACTCCTTACGCTGCCATGGCCATCCACTGCGATCAACAGCCTAAAGATAGCTGTCCATGTTTCTGACGATAAGGATGTTGCCGAGATATCACCCCTGATGAAATTAGAGAAGAACTTGTCAGACAAGGCACCCCCACCATCAAAGCAGAGAGGATCAAATCCTTCAAGACAGGAGCAATGACACTTATAAAAATCACGCTTAGTAACCCTAAGCATCTGAAGGAAGAAATTACACTGAGGTTTATGCACCAAACCGTAGAGGTTGCCACATTTTCAGCCATGTCGATTTTATAGTTTCAACTCCAGGAAATTCGAACATATATACGGAACATATGCACAACAAGGTCCAAATTCGTGAGATATGGAGGTTAAAATGAAGTTAGTGAAAGCCCCCTCAAAAAAAAAACAGAAAAGAAAAAAACAGGTACACCAACTACAACGGAAAATAAACAGCATTATGCCAGGTATGTCTAAGATTCCTGTAGGTAGCCAAGCGTGTTACCTACACAACTTCGAACTTTCCAATAACGTTCTTACGACAGCGGAAGTCACGTGACGCTGGTAACACGTCACGAGTTTCTAGAAGGATCATGTCTCTTCCTAGCAAATCTAGTCTTTTCTACGCGCCCTCTATTTTAGTATATAAGCCGGC